GAGAGGATGAATTGAGGGAAGAGAGACTCCTGTGAATGTAGATGGTGCCATCCCATGGCTCGGGTACCTGGATGGATAAAACAGTAAAAGTGAGCAAGCTAGTTGAACATCAGCATTCTACTCTCTGATCCTTGAAGTTACACAGATGGGACAAGTTCATCTCCTGTAGCTGCTAGCCACTCTCTACTTTGCTGTCTCAGTCATGATGTGCTATGTTTCAGTTAAGGTTTCTATTGTTGTGAAGAGATACCATGACTACAGCAGCTTTAATAAAGGAAAATGTTTAATTTGAGTGGTTTACAGTTTCAGAGGTTTAGTTTATTTTCATTGTTGAAGAAAACACTGTGTTGGGAAAGGAACTGGGAGGTCTATATCTTGATCTGAAGACAATAGGAAGTGAACTGTTTCACTAGGCACAGCTTGAGCACAGGAGACCTCAAAGCACACCCCCACAGTGACATGCTTCTTCCAACAAGTTCATATGTACTCCAACAAGGTCACTCCTCCTAATAGTGCCGCTACCTTTGGAGGTCACTTGCTTTCAAACCACCACATGCTGTGTTCCTTTGAACTATGAGTGGAAATAAACCCTTTATCCCTTAGGTTGTTTTGGTAATATTTGTTTGTAGCAATGAAAAAAGTGAAACCCTGTCTTTTCTTTGACTTGGAGTGACAGTAAGCACCTCTTTCATTTCTTTAACCAAAATCTCACAAAAGAGGTTTCATTACTAGCAGCTTCAAACAAGAACTGAAAGCCAGCTGGGTGGTGGTAGCGCACGCCTTTAATCCCAGCACTCGGGAGGCAGAGGCAGGCGGATCTCTGTGAGTTCGAGTCTGGGCTGGACCGACAGCCTCGAAAACAATACAGAGAAACCCTGTCTCGTAAAAACCAAAAAAAAAAAAAAAAGAACTGAACACCAACTCTTGTTCCTATTCCATTTTCATTTGTCATCTCTGGTGTTTGTAGCTCGGTTTCAAATCTTATTTATAACACTTAAATGTATTACGTACTTATTTTTGTTGTTATTATTTTAGTTATTTATTTGTTGGAAATGTATTTGTCTGAATTTTAATCATTTAATTTTCTAAAGTTTAACTTTATAATATCCATCTTTGACTGCCATATGTGTGTTACCTTTGGCCTTATTTACTGTATTATTGGAAGGAATAAATGCATGAGATAAATGTCTCAAATCACAAAGTGGTGATGAGGAATCTTATAATATTAAGCACTATTCATACTCTCCTCTACTTCCTTTACCCACCCTTTTAGTTCTTAGTTCGGAGGATTTCTTCATATTCTTCCATCTTATGTTTATCCAGCTTGAAATGGGGCAGAATGAATTCTCAAGTCCTCTGTCTCCTCTCCTCTCCTCTCCTCTGGAACTCCATGTGTCTTTCATTTTCCATTAATATTTATTCAACACCACAATTTGGAAGGTGCTGTAGAGCCAGAAAGGCCATATTGATGACCCAGAGCACATATCCTCAGCAGCTCTTGACTTCTGCAATACCCAGGCTCACCCACAGAATACTCAGAATCTACTTTTTTTTCCCGGAATATACTTTCTAGCAGCCCTCCCATCTTAAGAGAAGCCTTACTGTCTTTCCTGCAGCATTATAGTCTCCTGCACTCCACCATTCACCATTAAGTACTTTTTAGTTATTCACTATTCTTTGCTCTGAGCATCATGTGTGGGTTGACAACTGAGGTTGGTAACTAGAAGAGGATTCTCTTTACATTGCTGCAAACAAAACCCTGATCCACAACCTTGGCCCTGACTGAAATGAACCCGTAGGAAAGGTATTGATTTGTGCAGATTTCTTTCTTTTTCTACACTTCAAATTAATATCATGTTGTTCTCTTTCCAAACACTCATTATTAGTATATTCTTGGACTCCTAGGTGGATATGCCTCCAAGATTATACACAACCTTGATGGGGGGTGGGCACTGAAATCATGGCCTGTAAACAAGGAACAGAAAGAGTCACTGCCTTGGCATCTGGGGTGTTCTCACACTTTTCAGCATTCTTCAAACAGTCTTATAGCTCTCTGGCTTGATTGCAGCCATTGTTCCTTCACAGCATGGCTATTTTTGATGGGTGATGCCTGTGGGTCTCCCTGCTATGCTTCAGCAAAATCTGAGACATGGGAAGAAGGAGGGGCAGGGTCTGGCCTTCTTGGCCTCAGGTGAGCTGTTTGTGCTTTCTGACATGGTTGGGAAGTCCCACACTCTGGATATTGTTTTTAAGCTTCATTTAAATGGCCAGGACAGCCTTTGTGAAAAATAACCAGCAACTCTCTAAACAACTTTCCCCTTGGTTTTATTTATATATTTTTACTAGTATCATAAGCACAAATTTGGAATATAATTTTCATTTCTACAAAATCAACTAAACATTAATTGTAGAATATGCCCCATTAGTGAGAGTGGCAATATCTGGAGTTCAAAATATATACAACCTCTTCATAAATGCTGGCCATCACCTGACCTGAAGTTTCTATTGTTTTAAAGTCAGATGAAAAGGTAATGACAAACTTCTCTCCCAGCTTTTTAATCAAAGGGGTAATGAATGGAGGTTCTATTTTTATATAAAATAGGAGAAAAGTTGTGAGGAATAAAAAGAAAGTTATGGTTAGGAAAGTAAGGAAGGGCCGGTTTTTACAATAAGTAGAAAGTGTAGCTGTAAAATAAAAAATGGGCCAGCAATGTGAGCATAATTCAAGCCTTTTAGAAACAACGATTTTCAAGATAGTTCTCTAGGAGAGCCATAAAACTGTAGTCAGATTTTTCTTTGGACCACCAGCTCACAAGTAACATGGAGACTTACTATTAATTATAAAAGCTTGAGGTTAGTTTAGGTGTGTCCCATTAGCAATTATAACCTAAATTAACTCATTATTTTAATCTACATTCTATTGCATGACTTTTTATCTCATCTCTCTTTATGGCTGCTTCCTCTGTGTCTGGCTGGTGACTCAGTCTTCTTCTTCCCAGAGTTCTCTCTCTGCCCAGAAGTCCCACCTATATCTCCTGCCTAGCTATTGGCTTTTCAGCGTTTTATTACACCAGTCACAGCAATATATTTTCACACATTGTACAAATATTCTGCAACATAAATCTTTGGAAGAATTTTCTCCAGGCATCTTTCAGAAAGGTCTAGATCCCAAGAATATTTTACTTTTCATACTACCCTATGTCACATGCAATCATAAAACATGAACAGTTTTATCACAGGAATCACATTCCTTTAAGCAATTATCTCAAAGGAGATACAAGCAAAGGGTGGGAAAGATGGCAAATGATTAGTTAAACTTTTTCCCTACTTCTTTTTGTTTATATGTGGCCTTGATTTGAGGGAAGGAATCATAAACCTGAGGAAATTAAGGCATCATAACCCCATGCTTTCAGAGGAAAGGGCTAAGCTAATGAATATGGGGGAGGGGTGGGAAGGAAGAAAAGAATATTCTGGGCTCACAGCAATTTCCAATGGAATGGGAATCTAGATCATATTTTAAGACCAGGGAACTTATCAGAAAGACAAGTATCACTTTGTGTCTGCAAAGCATTTCGACTCACCAGTTTCATATTTACAGATTCAGTGTAATCTTGACGAAGTATGAATATGCATGACATAATTCACATTGACGCCATATCCTAGTCCAAGCTTTACTGTCTTCAGTGGGAGTCAGTAAAATTGCAAAAGCAGGTGTGGTATCCAAGACAAGTAGAGTGAAAAATGTCAGTGTATAGGTAACCCAGGTAATTTTCTACTGTGTGTATGTTTTTCTTTCACAAGTTGGTTCCATACAGTTTGTGCTTATTTGTTTGTTTGGGACAAGAGCTCTCCATGGGGTCCTGGCTATTCTGGAGCTTGCCATGTAAACTATGTTGTCACTAAACTCACAGAGATCTTCCTGGCTCTGTCTCCCAAATGCTGGGATTAAAGGCGTGCAATACCACCTTGGCCTTAAGTATGAACATTTGAAATCAATCTACATGTTTTTCTTCACATTTCACAAAAGGTAGAGAGGAGCCCTAAGACACAGAATGCATTTTGGCAAGAAACAGGAGGGAGAAATTTGAGAAATGAGTTAGTTTTGGATTTATCTGGAACAATTTTTCCAAGCTCATGATTCCTCATTTCAAATTCGATACTGAGTCATGATCAGTAAATGCAATTTGTGTGACTCACCCAACATAATGCGCTTCTATTCTTGCTCCAAATCAGGACCATTACCAGCATATCTGCGAAGCTCCAGTCTCCTATCTTTTCCCCAGAGAACCTTATTCATGACGCACTTAGATACGGCACTTAGCCCTGCACCATGTGGTATCCTTTAACTGCTAGTCTGGTCAGGTATGCATATTGTCCCAACTGCATAAATAAGATGGAGTCTTACAGAGGTTGAGTAGCAGACGAGAAATTGCACATCTAGGAAGTAGAAAGCTACACTTTTGAATCTTTGGAATCTAACTCCATAGCTCAACACTGTAATCCCCTACGCCCCGTGTGGCACATTCATCAATGTACAATGTGAGGTTGGAAGTGCAGCTTGGTGCTTTGGAGCAGAGCAAATGTAAATGGCCCACCTGGGGACTGAACCCATGACCTTGGCATGATTAGCACAGGGCTAACAGATGACTGAATACCAGAAGCATATTATCCAGAGTTTTCTCATATGAAGAGTTATTTGAGGGCAGGATATGCAAGTCAATAGGGAAACCTATTAAACCTACTGAAGCACATAACACACAAAATCACAATGGTCCTGTACTCAGAACGCTCTAAGAATTCAATTTACGTATATCTGTATGTCATCGTGCATAGTGCATATATACCTATGTGTTTGTGGTGTGGGTGTGCAAACATAGTAACTGAAGACATGAAATGTGAACTTGTCACAAGTGTGCATTAATGCATGCGTGCCTTTCTGTTGTTCTTATATGATTAATATGCTGAGTGTGTGGTCTGTGGATGTAATGACCAAGGCCTTAGTGATTTTACGTTTTAATGGGTCTCTTCAACTTCAAAATTGTTAGCACTGGGACTCCAAAGATGGAAAAATTTCATGTATTTGAAGTGGAAATTTGTTTTGTTTAAGTTGAGAGCAGAGTAATTAGTAGATTCCCCTTTACCTACTGGGCATATGTTCCTAGATCCCTAGGGGGTGCCTGGCCATGAATAGCAGCCGACAGTATTGCCACGTAGCATCTAGATCAAATTTGCCCTTTGTGCTTTGTGAATGACATTGCATTGCCCCTCTTTATTAAAATGGGGGTTACTGGCACACAACCATCAAGTAAGCAAGACACCTACTAAGTGACCAACTACAGGGGCATCAGTTACACACAGCATGCTAGACAAGTTGATGACTCACATCCTGCACAGGGTGACCCAAAATTTCTTCATCCTCTTCAGAATGGTGCACCACTCCAAAGTTACAGATTATATTTATTCCTGAATTTCTCCATTCAGTATTTTCAGAACACAGCCAGGATCCCTGCAACTGCAGAAAGCAGAACCACAATTTGGGTCTACTGGTTCTCAAGCAGATGGGCTTGGTTCTGAGATTGTGTCTTCATCTCTTCTGCCGGGAGTGCTGGGTGTTTCTGCAAGAAATTGTGGGTTATCATCCTCACAATGCAAACATAAGATGGCATTGTTTCAGGGTGTTTTGCTATACTCTCTGATTTTATTCATGTTTCAATCCAATAGAGATCCACCATAGCAGGGTTGTTGAAAACAGCGAGGATTTGCCGGCCCTTTGCAATTCTGCAGTTGTAATTAATGATGCTAACTGAAATGAAGCGGGCCTATGTCCAGAACTGGGGCATGAGTCACAGTGACTACATTGTGATCCCTCCAGGAGCAGCAATCATTTAAAAATCACCAAGCATTCTGAATCCAAGTAAGAAAGGGGGAAAAAAAAGAAAACTTACAAGCGTTTGCCATATTCTTAGTACCATTTGCCTTGACAGGAAAAACAACAGCCTCTTGCCTCCTCAGCTTATTCCTCATCAGCGAACTCTTCCCCAAACAAGACACTGCACATCAGCCATTTGGGATCTCTTCCATCCGTGTTGTAACGCGCTCTTCCGTGCAGTTTGTACTCACTGCAGCATGTGCCGACGCCAAGAGCAAGGCGTTGGTAATCTGGGCACCCACAGTTGTGATGAGGCATCTTCAGTGCAGTCGTCCAAATCAAATATTTGGCTGTGCTTCTTCAGATGCGATATCTCATATTGTCACTGTGGTTCTGGCAAAGCCGAGGAACTTGGGCAGGAAGGGAAGAGCCCAACGGCGTGGGGGTGGGGAGATGAAGCCGAGTTTGCTTTCAGGCACCACAGATTTCACCTGCTACTTTTGGACCTCTGCTATTTTAGCATGCACTCCGCTGGCGTGAATGATGGTGACATCATAACATGCTTTTGACCAGCAACCCTCCAGGGAATATAACGATTGATATTTATTGTTTATTTATTTACTCATTTGTTTGTTCATTTTTATTATTGTTGTTTGTTTGAGGCAAGGTAGCCCAGACCGACCTGGAACTCAGTCCTCCAGGGATTAAAGGCTCACCCTGGCTCTTTTGGTTCTTGGGACAAGCATGTAAACTGAGAGGCTAACTCAGGAGTGTTACTGCCTTGTTTTCAAGGAAGAAATTCTAAGACCTGGAGGAGTTAGCTGATGGCTGAGACAAGGAATTAGAGCAACGGTTTTAATATCTCTGTCTCCTCCGCGGCCTGCTCCTTTGCATCCTCCACAATGGTAATGGCTCACTGAGACAAACTTGACTGATCCATGAGAAAGCATGGGTTCATATCAGATAGACACCTCACTGTGGAGGAGAGCAAATTTCAACACTGGAAAACATTGGGGCTGCAGGGGTAGATAGTTCAGTAGGGAAGCATGAAGTGATAAGTATGAGATGGTTCTGTACAAGCAGGAGGTTTTGTCCACAGCACCCACATAAAAAGCCAGGCACATAGCACTAACATGGGGATCCTGGGAGCTTGCTGGCTAACAAGGCCCGCTCAAATAGAGCTGTTAGTTCAGTGAAAGTCATGTCATAAAAGAGTAAGGAAGAAATCCATAGAGGGGAAGACTGATGGCCGATTTTTGCCTTCACATGCACAACACACACACACACACACACACACACACACACACACACACACACACGTGCGTGGGTAACCATGAAAGCCAAAAGATGCCATCACAATCCCCAGGATCTGGAGTTAACAGGCAGTTGTGGGCCACCTGATGTAGATGTAGACAACAGAACTTTCTAGAGCAGCAAGCACTGTAAATTTCTAAGCCATCTCTCCAGACCAACTCTCCCCATTTATAACAAAAAGAAGAAAAGGAAAGATCAGTGGATATCTTCAATATCTGTCATAAAATAAATATTTTTATTACTTTGTTTTTTTCGAGCACACATATCTTGGGTGTAGAACTCAAGATTCAGGTGGCCAGAGGGAGGGTGAGTTAAAGATAATTTTAAGTTGACTTCAACTTTGAATGCCAAGGGGTTAGGCTGTAGCTCAAAGGCTGAGTATGTGCGTAACACATGCAAAGTCTTGGGTTTCAACCCTAGCACTGCTGAAATAAATAATAAAACAAATGTGTTGGGGATCACAGCACAATTTTTGGCAAAGAGTAGTGATGTGGGAAGTCCTGTGATTATGTCAATAAAGCACTGTTGGGCCAATAGGAATCTAGATAGGTGGGACTAGGAGTCCAGGAGGACTCTGGGAAGGAGAAACACAGAGAGTCAAGATGTAACGCCATGGGTTAGGAAGCCCGGAGACTTCTCCAGTAAGAGACATACTTAGATGGACAATTATGGGGTAATTACTTAAGTCAGAGCTAGCCAGTAAGAAACAAGCAAGGCCAACAGCTTCATAATTAATATAGCCTCCTGTGTGTTTATTTGGGACTGATGCGGCTCTGGAATCAGGCTGGCGGGAAGGCTTCTCTCAAAGGAAAAGGCTTCCCTTTACAGAGTAGGGATTGATAATGCTGTTCTTGTAGCTCTAGGTTTTTCCTGGGGGAAACTGCTCTGTAGGCATTTAGAAAATAAGATGGGATTGATTTTTCTCCCTTCTTCATTCAAAATGTTCAGTGACTATCTGTTCTCTGCCAGAGATTGACAGTACATAGGACTTTCCTTTTAAACAAAATAAAATATCAGAAATATTTGGAAAGTATTTGAAAGCACATGTTGTGACCTTGAGCATAATCTAACCTACACTTGACCTTCACCAAATCATAGAAACTGGCAAGAACACCAGATGGTTTTCATGTGACATAATTTATTATGAAGCATTTAATTTTTCAGATCACCATGCTTATTAAAAATAAAAATACCAAGCATCAAAATTTACAATAGATATTACACATACAAAACAAACAAACAAACAAATACTCCCATAGCTGAATGAAAAAGGTTTAAAAGGTTTGTAGAGTAGACTTACTGGGGAGTGTCATGAAAAATACTTCATTTTGCCTAAATATTCAAATGCTCAGCATTTCAGGCTACATCCCCCTCCTCTCCTGTCATGATAATGGATGCTCCATCTTCTACTCTCAGGAATACTCTCCACATCAGCTCCCATCATCGCTTATCAGGCTGAAGCTCATGTTACTGAATCATACTCTCTCTCAGTTTCTTCCTGTTGACACCCAGGTTCCTCACGTCTTGTAAGAAGGGTCCTTCCTTTTATTTCTACCTACTGGTCTGCCTTGTCCAGACATGCTTCTTTAAAGTGTGTGTATGCAACTCATTCTCTTCTACCATCTTACCTTCCCACTCCATGGCCAAGATAAACTTTGTTCTTTACAGACACATAGTGAATTTCTTACCCTTGGCAGGTTAGGTGGTCTGTTGCAATTTTTTTTGCCACAGTTGCTACAGAATAAACAACAGCTAGAAGAAATAAATAGAAGAAAATAAATAGAATAAACACATTTCTGCTTATTTCCTAAAAACTCGTGGTAAACTGGAGAAGTTCTCAGCAGTTAAGAGCATTAGCTGCTTTTTCAGAGGACCTGGGTTTGATTCTTAGCACCCTCTTGGTGCCTCACAATTGACTGTAACTCCAGTCTCAGGAGGTTATATATATGTACATACATACACACACATACATACATACATACATACATACATACATACATGCAGGGATACACAGTGAACACATCAAAATTTAATAAATGAATTTAAAAACAAAACAAAACACAATGCCATATAACAAGACAAATAAAGTCAATACAGTCTGCTGACTTCTGAAGTGTCCTCCTTCCTAGTAACTGAAATATCTCTATAAACAAACAACAGTGAAAATACCGTTTGAAGAGCTGTCCTATAAGAAATGCTGAGGTCAGTCTTCTTTCCTCAAGCTTTCCCCACCCACTCATGAGTGGCACATAAAGCATATAGCAGATGTCTTCTGAAGTCTTGCAGGCAAGAGGAAGTCGACTCCTACACTTGGAGATATTTTGAGTGTAGGGATCCTCAATGCCTGCCACCACAACACACACTTCCTCCAACAAGGCCATACTCATTCCAACAAAGCCGCACTTCCTACTAGTGCCACTCCTTATGATATTATCAGGGTCAATTACATTCAAATTATTATAGGCCCAAACACTTAGAAGTTGTACAGACAACTGATAAATACTGAGAAAGTGATAAACTAGTCTTTCTTGAGGATGGGCCCCCTAATAGCTTATGAAATATGAAGTGTTCAGTCCTAAAAACATATACACATAAGCAACATAAAATGGACTTAGTAGATTGTTTATATGTATATGTATATATTTATTTTCTTATCTTTCAGTAATAATTAAACAAAAAGAGTCCATGGACTCTTGTGAGAGTGGGGAAGATAGGAGTTGGAGGCAGGAAGGGGAAAGGAGAAAGTGATTTAAATATAGTTCATTAAATATTAAAATAAATTAGATGACTACAATATTATAATTTCCTTCCTTTCTTCCATTAGTGTCTTTTTCTTTCAGAGACAAAGTTACCTCTATAGCCCTGGCCTCGAACTTACATTTCTCTAGCCTTGGCCTCCAATGTGACGTGACTATAGGCAAACAATACCATGCTCACCATCTTTTAATAATTCTGCATATCCATAAATTTTTCATAATTTTTAATTAAATAAGTTTTCATACAATATATTTGATCATGTTTTCCATTCTCCCAGTTCTTCCCAGATCCTCCCACTTCTCTGTCCACCCAACTTGTTGTCTCTTACTCTCTTTTTCAAAAACTGAAAATCAAAATGAGCAAACAAAATAACTAATAAGACAAAAATTGCTAAAAAAAACAAAAAAAACCATGGAGTTTGCTTTATGTTGGCCTATGTTGGCTGACAACTGGTTCTGGGATCTCATGTCCTAGAGTGTATATGCACAATGACACTCCATTGGAAATGTTAGTTTTGCCTGCATGTATGTGTGTGGTACACATTCATACCTGGTGGTTATAGAGGTCAGAAGATAGTGTCAGATACTTTTACTAGAGTTATAGATGATTGTGAGCCAACATGTGGGTGCTGGAACGTGAACTATGGTCTTCTACAAGAGCAATAAGTAATTTTAATTGCTGAGCCATCTCTCTAGATCATATATATATATATATGTTTATTTGTACACACACACATATATATATATATAATATTTGAACAATGAGACTCATTACTTGTTTTGACTTTATTATACTACAGTTAAAAATAATCCTGGAAACCAACCCTGTGGCTTCAAGATATCCATTTGCACTGCTGGTCTAGTGTTAGTAAGGATGCTTGTAGACTGAATTTCTTTTCTGCCTGGTCCCACAGCCATTGAGCCCCAAATAAACACACAGGTACTTATATTCAATATAAACTGTTTGGCTGATGGCTCAGGCTTCTTATTGGTTAGCTCCCTCTTAATTATTAACCCATTTCTATTAAACTGCGTATAGACTCAAGGCTGTGGCTTACCTGTAATCTGGCATGTTACTCATTCAGCAGCATGTCATCTCTCTGGCCCCTTTCTGCCTCCTCTTCCCCTCTTTCTCCTCATCTGGTAGCCCCACCTATACTTTCTGACTGATTACTGGCCAACCAGTGTTCTAGTCATCAACTTGTTTTGGCTCTGGGAATATAACCCATTGTGGAATGGAAAGTATGACAGCAGGCGAATGAGAGTGCTGGTCACTTTGTGTCTACAAACAGGATGAGCAAGAGACAGATGTTAGTTTACGGCTTACCTTTTTTCCTTTGCCCCACCTTTCTTCAGTCTGAGACCCAAGCCATGCCACAATGGCACTGACATTCAGAATGGCTTTTTCCTTCTC